AAACAAGAGATTTCAGTTCCTCAAATGTGGGTCTCACCATAACCTGAGAAAGTATCTTTAGGGGCAACTGTCTTCCCTCTAAGGGAATGACTAACAATAACAGTGCTAAGAATAGTTTAAACAACAAATATGTGAAATCAAACTAAATATGATGACAGAATGCGTTAAGAAGTAACTTTTAGAATTCAGGAAACAAAGGAGGGGAAAATAAAACCATTAAGGAATTGAAAACTTCATTAGTGGTAATATAGAGGCAACTGAAAAGATAAGAATGTAGCTATCATATTTGTAAAAGTTAAACAAATGAGAAAATAATAAAGATATAAAAACTGTTATAGAGATGATAGAGAAGACTTAAAAAAAATATTGAAGATATGCCTAATTGGTATGAGGAGAACTGAGCAAATAAAGAAGAAATTTTCCTGAAAAACAAAGTCTTGGGTTACCTGGGTGGCTCATTAAGCACCTAACTCTTGATTTCAGCTCAGGTCATGATCTCGGGGTTGTGAGAACAAACCCTGTGATGCGCTTTACACATAGCAGGGAGTCTGCTTGAGATTCTCTCTCTCCCTCTCCCTCAGCCCTTCTCCCCGCTCTCTCTCTAAAATAAATAAATAAATCTAAAAAACAAACAAAAAGTCTTGAACTTACAAGTTATACAAAATGTTTAACACCAAGACTTATCCAGAAAGGTCTTGAAATTCAGAATGAGGAAAGCTCCTTACAGACATCCGATATAAAATCCAGTTATTTAGAAGATAGCAGGAGGGGAAGAATGAAGGGGGGGAAATCGGAGCGGGAGACGAACCATGAGAGACTATGGACTCTGAAAAACAAACTGAGGATTCTAGAGGGGAGGCGGATGGGGAGATGGGTTAACCTGGTGATGGGTATTAAGGAGGGCACGTTCTGCATGGAGCACTGAGTGTTATATGCAAACAATGAATCATGGAACACTACATCAAAAACTAATGATGTAATGTATGGTGATTAACAGAACAAAATAATAAATAAATAAATAAAAATCCAGTCATTTAGGAGTGAGGAGTGAGGGAAGGCAGGCTGGACCCATTACCATGGATAATGTTAAATGTGATCAGAGAACAGAAAAATATCTATAGGCTTTAATGGAATTATTACTGAACACCTAATTTGATACCCAGCCAAGTTGTCTTTCAGTTGTAAAGACAACAAACAGATATTCTGAACCATGAAGCAAAACAGAAAATGTATAGAGTAAACTTAGGGGAAGTGAGAAAAGGTATGTTAATTTCATCATTCTTTGTAGGAGTTAATCAACAGATCACTTTTAAATTGAAACAATTCTCTTCCGAGGAAGGAATTTCTGGAGGTGTGAATCTGATATTTCACAGACAACAACCACTAGCATTATAGGTTTAGCCAACTACAGATATGTGGTAGTCTGTTCATAAAAAAGGCTGATTTTAAGAAAAAAATCACTCAAAAACATTACTCCTATGAGAAATTAACATTGTGTGTGATGGCATCTGCCTGTTACACAAATATCTCAAAGATATCTACCTTGTTAAATAAAGATTTTGATTTACTGGTTATCAAGATCTTTGCGATGATTATCATATATGTTTTGAAGTCCATCTCCACAAGTTACAGATTCCATCAAGTTAAAAATTGCAAAATATAAGGACATTGCTTAAAGTAATACATTGTCTTCACCAACAGATGTAGTGTATGAGTGCAGGAGAGTGACTCAATCTGTCTGAGTTTACCTATAATAATACATTCTTGGTATGGAACCTTAAAAATGAATCTCTTTAGAGCTAGAATCATCATTGATTACCCTTTGCTGGGGACTGGGAAGCTCTACATAGACATGCTCTTCAACCCCTTACAGTGGACTTTATTTCTAAGAGAAAAATGAGAAAAAGAGAGAGAGAGGACGATTGCTTGCTAAACTGCTTTTGGAAGTAACAATTGAACAATAAAGAGATATCTAACAGAGAATGAGAAGTCACAACAGAATACATGTTGTTCAGGCCAGCTTATTATTTTTTCAGTGTGTAAGTTAGCTTTTACCAGTCTGACAACCTTTATTTCTCTTGTCCTGTTCTGACAATTTTCAGAACAAAAGATTTAGAAACATAGATCTTTAGTTAAAATCAACTGTTTACTATATTGCTAATTTTACAGTAGTTTCCTCTCAGAACCTGAGGTTTCACCTTTGAATTAAAAGTAATTATAATGCTCAGTTCAGAGAATTAAATAATATATATTAAAGTGCTTTATAAATGTTATAACAAAATTGTAATAGTAATAGTAGTGGCAGTGGTAATCAGATTCTAGATTCCAACAGGCTTGTATTTGTATCCCAGGTTTGCCATGTATCTGCTATATACATTTAGTTCATTAATTTCAGCCTCAGTTTTGTCATCTATACAATGGGGGGATTAATTCTAGTCACATGGATGTTGTGAGTGTTACATGATACATTGCATATAAATAATTAAGTGTAGTATCTATAATGTAGTAATTATACCACAAGTAAATGTTAGTTGTTGTTATTGTTGTGATTATTAATTATAATTTATAGAGTACTTGTGATATACTAAGTATACTGAGTATGTTTATACATGTTGATGTCAATCAATCCTCGTAATAATATGGTCAGGAGACATTATCAATCACAATTAATAAATGCAGTACAAAGGAGATAAGTAAAAAAAGTATAAAAAAATTAAAAGGCTAGAAAATGATTTTACTAGAATTTGAACCCAAGTATGTCTGACTCTAAAGCTCAAGAGTTTTGAAATATATAAAAATAGAAAATATATTTTTTAAATGTTAATTTTATGCATTATAGGTATTTATAATATTGATTTAAATGATCATAGTTATAATGTGTAAAGACTAGAAGAGATATATTTTCATGACTCCATCATGCAGTTTAACTGTACCTGAGAGTATAAGGAGGTTTCATGTGCTTTTCCAAATATTTATAAATGCATTATGATGCAACAACAAATAGACTATTTTGATAATAATTTTCTCTAGTTATTTTTATTATATTACTTGTTTTTCATTTTTGAGTGAAAGTTTAAGTGATAGCAATGTCATTTGGTATAGAGAAACACATTTCAGTTATTTTCATGTAATATTTTATTATTTGTAGCTTAAAAAAAGAACTTCAGTTAGATTATCTAAGACTCAAACAAAATACTTGTCAATGCCTGCTTTGTGAATGCTTAGTTTTATTGGATGAGTATTTAGGGTGCCGTGAACACTTTTGTTTTTCTTTGCCCAAAAAAGAATGAATATATATTTAAAGAAAACATAAATGTACTCTAAACCCATTATTCTAAATATGGAGGTGTATATCTTTTTTAGTAATAATTTGTTAAAGCTTGAGTTTCCTGGGACATTTGTTCTTCTATTTCTTTCCTGATATTTTCTTGTGATTATCTACAAAGAATGTGAATCTCCAACTGTTTAGTAGAGGCATCAGAAATATGTCATTCCTAAAATCATTCCTCTTCATTTTTCTAAGACAGTGGTTTTAAATGAGGACAATTTTGACCCAGGGGACATTCAAGAATCTCTGGAGACATTTTTGATTATACACTTTGGGAAGGTGTGCTGTTGGCATCGAGTTGGTAGGGGCCACAGATGATTATAAACATTTTACAATTCACAGGACAATCCTCACTACAAAGAATATCCCAAAATGCATTTGTGCCAAGGTTGAGAATCTTTATCTAAGGTTACTATATAATCAAATTTATGATCAATAAAAATAAAGGAAAAATTTTTACTTGCTTCTAAATTCACAATTCAAGATGCTAAGGAAGCTAGATACATATATAATTCTGTGAATTCTTGCACTACTACAAGCTAATGAGACTAATACTCTCCCCAGCACATTTACTCATAATTTCTCCAGCATAATTATCCTAAAACTCCAGCAGAATTATCCTAAAACTCTTCAAGCTCAAGCCTGTCATATGAGGCCCAATTTTATTTCTACTTTTCTATAAAATTTTCATTAGTTTAAAATTACCTTTATCATAGGATTTCTCTGAATATTAACTAATTAGATGAGGTAAAATCTAATATCTGGCATATAGTAGGTACTTAATAAGTGTTCTTCCCTCTTGACTCTTTCTCTTCTGATCTCCTTATTTACATTGTTTACCTGCTGATGAACACTTAATTGTATGCGGTTTTCATATTTTTATTCAGTTATTTGACTTTTAAAGGACACGTCTCTTTTATTCTATGAGAATATATTTATTTACATTACATAATTTATCCTTTACACTCTAGCATTTTTAAGAATAAATAGTGCTTGATTAAATGAGTGAAGAAATGAATGGACAGAGAATACATGAGGACCAATGTTTTCATATCTGTAGTTCCCAAGTAGTAACACAATAGTAATTCATGACTGTTTATTTATTGTATATTATTTTTAACATTCTAAGAGTTTTACTAACTTTTAGGGTTTTTTTTAAGATTTTGTTTATTTGACAGAAGGAGAGAAAGCACAAGCAGGGGGAGTGGCAGGCAGAGGGTCAGGAAGAAGCAGGCTTCCCACCAAGCAGAGAGCCCAATGCCAGGCCAATTCCAGCACCCCAGGATCAGGACCTGAGCCAAAGGCAGACACTTAACTGACTGAGCCACCCAGGCACCCCAAACTTTTAGGTTTTTTTAAATGTTTTTGTTTAGCATTGTTTTCTTTAGCTCTGTTTTAGATGAATACAAAGATATGTATTTAAAAATGTACAACACCAACGTTTGAGATATTTGGTTTTTTTTCATATTTTTAAAAGAAATCTTAGTCAATTAAAAAATTCTAGGTAGGTCTCTAATTTACTAAAATAAAGTACTTTGCTTGTTGTTGCTTTCTTTTGGTAATATACTTGTTGAGTATAAGGAAAAAGGAAAAATTTTAAATATGAAAATAATGGAGAAAAAGTCTCGATATTTTTAGAAATTTTAAAGTGTGTCCTTTTTGGTCCTTACAGGAAGTGTGGACTATGGGCCAGTGTTTGTACAAGAACCAGATGATATAATTTTCCCGACTGATTCTGATGAAAAGAAAGTAGCATTTAATTGTGAAGCTCGTGGCAACCCAGTTTCCAATTACAGGTAAAAGTTCACTGCTAATCATTTTTCTCAAGTCTAAAAATTCCCTTCAATGAGATTCTGACATTCCCAGGGATAATTATAATATCTCAAGTAATTTTTACATATTTGTCTTCTGATTTTTCCAAAGATGGCTTCGAAATGGAACAGAAATAGATTTGGAAAGTGATTATCGCTACAGTTTGATAGACGGGACCTTCATTATAAGCAATCCAAGTGAAGCAAAGGATTCTGGTCATTATCAGTGTTTAGCAGCCAATACTTTTGGAAGTATTCTTAGTAGAGAAGCCATACTTCAATTTGCCTGTGAGTAAAGTATATGTTTTCTTCATGTATCTGTATATAGTATGTATACATATAATTTTAGAGTTTGGCAAAAGCTTAATTAAGACCCCAAATTTTAATATAGTGGTAAAATCTTGGTAAAGGTTAGAACTATATAAACAATGCGTTCCTTTCTAAGATATTTTGAAACCCCCTGAAATGTTTGCCCTCTTCAAATAAACCCAACACACTAATCTGGGAGGTTAAAAATACTATTCATGAATTCTCTTCCTCCGCCTTTTAAAACATCTATCTGCTTTTACTTTTCTACTGTTTATTATAGTCAAAATTTGCTATAGATTCTTTTGGGCATAAGATCATATATTCTAAAAATTCTGCTTAGTCAGGAAACTAAAGAAATGCCTCTGAAATTCTAATGTTTCAGATTCTAACTATAATTTCTCACTCAGATTCCCCAATTTTTTAATTAGAAAAAAGATACATACATATAATCAAACATATATACCAGAATCTGTATTTTCTAAAATCGATCATTTATCTAATTAACTATGTGTATTGAGTCCTTAAAACTTGTGAAATTATTTAACTTATGATGAAGTCTTATACCAAATTGAGGATAGGCTACTGAGTAAAAACAACAACAACAACAACAAAAAAACAGTATCATTTCTCAGTAAAGAATCCTACTTGAATATAAATTCTTGAGGATTACAATATCTAAAAAATAGGAGAGTAGGAATCTTTGTGTTAATAATTTAAATGTTACTTATATTGGGTATATAATTTACCACAAAATGATTTTTAATTTAAAATTACATCCTGAAGAATGAAATAATTGATTTTTCTCTATATAATCTTCATCACATATTATTTCTAATTAACCCAGAATCCAGACATCCTATTATAGGAGTGTGAAGGAAAAAGGAAAGAATAAAGGAATGATAATGGATTCAGAGCTAGGTCCCAGAAAAATCTAAATATTATCTTTTGAAATAAATTTGGCTAAGGAGTTCAGGCAGGACTTTACATACACCAAACATACCAAGATAGTAACCTGAATATACTCCTTTTATTTTAGAAAATATTATGTGGTGTAACACAGAACCTAATACTTTTCATCATGCACATTAAAAGAGTAACCTAATAAACAAACAGCCCTTCTAATGGCTCCTCTGTAGAGTAGTCTTTTCAAGACAGAGACAGCAAATCCAGAGAATATGATGTATGAATACTAAGCGGCTTATACCTTTCTCTTTGGTCTATACTATGTGACACAAATACACCAATTCATAATAGCTTATATATCAATTGTTCTCCTCCAAATCACCAGTGGAGACAAAATATGCAAAGTTTTCTGTATGCTTCAGAGCAGAAATCTACTTACTGGAAGATCCAACGTGACTGTGTGACTGTGCCATCCTAGAATTTCTGCAAAGACCATTCACAATGATCAGATACTCACCCCCACCCCCACTGGGGTGCCAATGTGAGCACATTGGCACCCCAGCATTTATAGTTCAATGACTAGGCAAGGAAAGCCCTATCTATCTTACTTATTCCATATCAAGCTGTCCTGAAATTAGACTAGAGCAATATTTGCTTTATTTTTAGCTTAACATAAGAGTTAATATATATATGCATTCATTGGTGGCATCTTATGACCCTGCCTTTCCTCAGCCCCGCCCACCTGACTCAGCTGTGTTCTGAAGGCCATATACATACACAAGAGCCCATAATGTGCCAGGTTGAAGCAGTTACTTACATAGGGAAGGCCACCTCTGCCTCAAAATTACTCGTCACCTAGATGCCATTATGTCCATTTGATAAAATTAGAAAATTAAGTCCTTTAGGTTTAGCTCTGTCTTTTTTCCAGAAGATCTTTGGTAGGGTGGGGGGGGATGCAAATAAATATAGGTGGTAGAGAGGAGAATGAAGACTCCACCAAATAGCTTTCTAGTGTAATTGGTTATGAGCATGGGTGTTATGGGATTCTAGGAGTCAAGGTACTTTTGTGATTGGAGGAAAATTGAGCTAAGAACTTGGAAAGATAAAAAGGAGCTTCTAAAAGGAAGTGAAAGGATACAAAGGTAAAGTAAGATTAAAAACTTGGTGGCAACTTTCCTTTACATCATGATTTTCTATGTCTAGCTTCATAGCTAGATAGATAATGTACTCACTACTTATTGTTTATAGAATGTTTAAAGGGTTTTTGCAGGTAGAGGAATGTTCAGCACTCTTTATACGTTTTAGAGCTGAAATCATTAATCTTTTATACCTATCAGCCACTATTTATGTAAAAATTTAAATATACAACTAGTATTTTAAAATTAATTTTTTCAGCCATGGGAAAAAGTAAAACTAATACATTTCGCAAATTTAAATAATTAGCAAAACCTATGTAATCAAATTAAATATTCAAATCTAATACATGTCTGTTAAACATTTTAAATGTCATAAAATTAGGCAAAAGTTACAAATTATGAAATTGATTACAAAATTTTTATTAATACTTATAAATAAACTGTCTTGTGCCTATTCTTGAGGTATACTTTTATGCTTTACTCAGTTTATAATATTTTATTATATAAATATTTTTGCCTTTTATACATCAGTTTCATCATATATAATCCATAAATTCATCAGATATGTCTTCTACACTGTGTAGTGCTATTGTGATCTTCTAAAGTGATCCTTTCTAAGGAGCATCATATTACCTAAACTGGAGTTCATTTCTGAGTTATAAGTCAATCCAATTTTAGTTGCTCCTTTCAAATGTGAGACCTATTTAACACATGTGACCTCTTTTATAATTTAAACATTATTTTTGTTATATCAATAACACTTTAAATCTATAACTTTCACATGGGCTTTACCTTTTGGAATATGACATATTTGCTTAAAATGATGTGATTCTAAGACTTATTGGACAGTGTTAAATAAATGCCAGGTGAGTTTCCCCTAATTATATTCACAGAAAAAAGTACTAATCTATATTTTATAAATATATGCATATTTAAATGAAGACTCAAGATATCCATATAGTAACAATCCTATTACCAATAAAGAAAATAAAATTTAAACATATCCTATTAGAGTCACTTTACTTTTTGCTTGGAAATTACATATGTACATGTACACATATGCATCATATTAAACTTTCTGATTCTGAGTATTGGAATCATATGAGATTTTGCAGATTCAACTTAGTTATATACATGCAAACTGTCACAATTTGGCTATTGGGACTCACTTAATGCTAGCTTCTTTGTCCTCTTATTAACCAGAACTTTATAAATATATTTTTAAATATTTATTTATTTATATTAGAGAGAGAGCGTGAGCAGGGTGAGGGGCAGAGGGAGAGAGAGAGAGAGAGATAATCCTCAGGCAGACTCCCCACTGAGCATGGAGCCTGATGGCAGGGCTTGATCCTAGGACCTTGAGATCATGACCTAAGCCAAAATCAAGAGATGGATGCTCAACTGACTAAGTCAACCAAGCGCCCCAACCAGAAATATATTTTAAAATATTCTAACTTTCCAATAATAATATTTTGATCCCCTACCCACATCCCAAGTCAATCAAAAGTTCAGCTACTTTTCATTGACCACAATGCATAATTTTATGGGAGACTAAAATCTAGATGCTAGAGGTGCATATAAGACTGTTCCAAAAAAAAAAAAAAAGACTGTTTCAAATAAGTTATGATAATGGGTAGAAAGACAGTATTACTAAACCATTTTAGTAAAACAGATTTTTAAAAAGAACATTCTTTTTTTAGGGCCTCAAGTAGCTTATATTCATTGAACAATTTCTGTGGCTGGCAGTGCTCCAAGTGTTTTAAAATACATTAACTCATTTCATCCTCATAACCAACATATGAGTTGGTATAAAACATAAATCCAGGGACTCCTGGGTGGTTTGGTCAGTTAAGCATCCACCTTTGGCTTGGCTCGTGATCTCTGTCTTGGGATGGAACTCCATGACAGGCTGCCTGCTCAGTGGGAAGTCTGCTTCTCCCTCTCCCTCTGCTCCTCCCCTCTCTCCTTCTCTCTCTCAAATATAAATGTAAACAAACAAACAAAAACACATAAATCCAGGAGAGCTTGGGTGGCTCAATTGGTTAAGCATCTGACTCTTGATTTCAGCTCAGGTCATGATCTCAGGATCCTGGGATCGAACCCTGCATCAGGCTCCCAGCTCAGTGGGGAGTCTGCTTGTCTCCCTCTACTTCTGCCCCTCGCCCTGCTTGCATTCTCCCTCTCTCTCTCATTCTTAAATAAATAAATATATCTTTAAAAATAAATAAATAAAATGTAAATACATTTTGTAGATGATAACTCTTACTTTAATAGTACTCAATCTTTCTCTGTTCTAATATAAATATGTATTGTATTCACTTTGATATACTCTTTGATTTTCAACTTCTCTCTCAAACTCTAATTATATTGTAATTTCTCAAAAGTCTTTTTATATTTGCTTCATCAACCTCCATTTTATAATCAATTTATTAACATCTATATGATATAACAAAAATAAATATTAGCAACAAAAATAAGTATGTAGGGGCGGAGCAAGATGGCGGAGGAGTAGGAGACCTGGATTTCATCTGGTCTCAGGAATTCAGCTGAATAGGGATCAAACCATTCTGAACACCTACGAACTCAACAGGAGATCGAAGATAAGAATA